CTTTCAGCAGAACCCGAGCCCCACTGAGCCTCAAGCCCTGAAAATCGAGGGTAAAGCTGTCGTTCCTTAAGGGAAACCACCAGTTGGATGGTTTATAAGGTCATTCCAATTCTTATTCCCTGCATCGCACCAGCAAGTTATGTGAAGGTGGTTTTGTCTAGGTCCTCCAGATTAGAGAGGTTTAGAATAAGTTGGTACCCGATTTTGTTTTGTAGTCTATTTTAGTAGAACCCTCACCCAAGAAAGGGCTGAGAAAGGGCACTACTGGGGGACCTAGGTAAAGCTGTCGTTCCTCTTCTCAGACCCCACGGGAATTGAAGAGTTGGTCTTGGGCCCCTGCTTTGCGTGTGCTCTCGTCTTGACGGGGTTACCCATACCACCCCACCCCCTAAAGGGGACATTGGGGAGGATCACCTTTTTGGGGGGCTTTCGGGTGAGTTTGGATATGACCTGTATGTGCTTAGATAAGATGGTAGGCATGTTTTGAATGACTGGGCTTAATACAACTCCTTCCCACAAGATTCACGTTTCCTCGGAAATGTTTGACAGGTTTATTCACACATTGCCTAGTGAGAGCAAGCGGACCTCGAAGACTTGCTCTCCCGCATTGTTTTGATGACCGGGGGCGGCGATGCACTACCCGCTGGCCAAAATCTGTGAGACTACATCGCCTAGTTGGTGGGCAATGATGTCGGCTTTGGAGTAATGCAGAGGAACCCATTCATCAGAGGACCCCCGTAAACATGGTTGACTCGCCGCGCAGGGGGGGGAACCACCTCTGATTGGTATGTCCCTGCAGATGCATTGGAAGTTGACGTGAGTGCAGGGCAAAATTCTAGGGGTATCATCCCCATTCTTTCTAGGGATCCTTCTTTCTAGAAAACCTCCACACATTCAGGCAAAACGGTTGGTATTGAAAAGAACGATGGTTGAACAGATTGGAAAAGGAATCATCTCCTAGAAAAGTTACTTGTTTCCCCGGGCAATGGAGTGAGGATTGGGTCTGCACCCGCCTGGTTTAGGGAAAGTTGTAGGGCCCGCGCCTTTTTTTGGTCCTCCCCAAACTAACCGAAAGCAGCTTCACAACCATTAAAAGCTTGCAAACATCTTTGTGCAGCCCCCTACTACACATGAAGAGAACCCAACAACACCAGAAACCTAAACCATCGACCAACTTGCCGGCATCGGTGAGGACAGACTGCCAGAAGTTTAAGTTGACGACCAGCGGCGCGCCTTCGAGGTCCGATCGAGCTCCTCGCTTGCCATCAACGCCTGTCCGAGGCAAAACCAAAGAACCGGCCCCACCTACCGCAACATGAATTCCCACACAAAGAAAACCTGGCGCATGGGTGAGGTAGACCACCCCCTTGAGGCGACTTCCATCCGAATCTCCGCGTTTTTTGGGGCGTTCTTTTGGCCAACTAATAGAAGTAAGGGAGAGAAATCACACCCCGCACCCACCCCCCAGAAAAGATCTTTAGACGTAAGAGGTTTTGATCAAAGGGGCCGCGGCAAAAGATGCTGAAGGAAGCACTGGGACCCCAACATAACCTTTGAGCCCTGAACATGCAACTTTGAGGTGGAAACCCTCTCTACTTGAGCCAGTTGCTCAAAATCCGGGCAGATGAAGGTTAGGGATAGTCCCCTTGCCACAAATGGGTGTGGCCCCTTTTGAAGCATGGTTCTGGGCCCAATTTAATACCAGGTTTTGAACCTCCATTTGCTCGAGTCCCCCACAAAATATACATAAACATCTTTCCTCTAGTGAAATCCAAACCCTTCAAACCCAACAGGGGAAAGAACACATCTTCTGAAAAGCCACTGGATTCGCAAAGTCTCGTTCTCGGCCTCTAGGAGGGTCGGCCACAAGGCCAGGGCTCCGGGAAGAAGCAGTCGTTCGACCTCACGTTGACCCAGGATTTGAGTAGAACCCGTCCCACTAGGGGGGTGCCCTCCAAAAGTGGTCTGGATCCCACCACTAAAAGGAATTGGACACCCCACTATGAATCAACCAGGGGTTGATTAATCCGTGGTTAACGTTAGAAGGAAGGAACGATCGCCCCCCCCCCAAAACCCAGAAAGGGCTTTGTCTTAAACTAGGGACCCCCCCCAACAAACTGGGTATGGGTCAAAGTCAAACAAGGGGACGCTAGGTTTTAGTCTACCAGGGAAGCAATTGTTCGAACCTATTTTTGACCCACAGCCAAATGGCTACCCTCCCACCCTTTTCACATGGAACCTGACAAACAACCTGGGCCCTTTAAAAGGAAATGGACCATCTTCCAAAACCCTGCGAAACGTCAGGTTCCATGTTAACTGGTGGGAGGATAGTTTCCCTTTGGCTTCTTTTCAACCAAGCCCAAAAAGGGTTTCTACAAAAAATCGACAGACTCAGGAACGGTCCGCAAAGAACTCGTTCAGGAAGGTTTGAGCTTAGGTGTCTGTATTGAACAACAACAAATGGCCCTGGTAGACGATTGAACCACCAGGCAAACCAGGGCCTCCATTTTCCATAGCACCCAGGCAAAAGGGACACCATTTTGGCGCTGATAGGTTTTTTTTGGGGGGGGCCGAACTGATTGCAGATCCCCAGTTCGAAATTCCATTGAACAGATTTAAGCCATGCCATTGGGGTGGCCCAGCGCGGGGAACACACCAAAAGATTGGAGGAGTCATGCTGTGGGCTGGGAGCTGACTTTTGGACCACGGGATTTCTTGGAACCGGTCGGATTCTTGAGGGCGGAAACTTCTAAAGCGATCCGCATGGTCCGACGAATAAGCTCAGGTGATATCCCCAACAGCATGCGGTGCTCTTTTTAGTGCTCGCACCACCCGGCAGCCCTGGCAGAACCCCGCGGAACCTGGAACCTTCCTCAGGGCCGCCCCAGACCACCCCAGAGCCTATCTGGGCTGAGACCCCAAACTTGCAGCTGTTGGGGAAAAAAGGGACACCCCATTTGGCGATGGTATGGAGTAACGCCATGCTACTCGGACAGTATAAGACCCGGCCGGGCCATCAAAGTTGGGGGCCCGTTTCATGGAGACCAACAACAAGTCCGGATAAGTCAGGTTCACCTTTGGGATCCTTGACTAAAAAATGAACCAAAAAGGAAGAACCAAAAGGTCACAAGGTCGATTCGCTTTGAACAAGGGAGAAATGGGACAGCCTTGATTGATCCAACAACAGCTTTCTCCAGGGTTCTCATGTACTCTCCTCCCGGCGCTCTCAGCAGGCTTGCGCCTTGCTGGACATAATATGGGTCTCTCCCTTGTTCAGGGGGCCCAAAATGCTGGGTCTCCTGTTGGTTTCCCTTTAGAACCACCCCCAAAGGGCGGTCCCCCCCAAAATTGGAACCACACCCAATTTCAAATATGATCTCCCCCAAAAGAATGGAACCACACCCAATCTCAAACATGATCTCCCCCCCAAAAAAATGGAACCACACCCGATTTCAAACAGGATCTCCGCCCCAAAAAATGGAACCACACCCGATTTCAATCATCACACCCAATCTCAAATATGATCTCCCCCCCCCCAAAAAAAGAGGAACCACACCCGATTTCAAATGATCTCCCCCCAAAACATTGGAATCCCACCCGATTTCAAACAGGATCTCCCCCCCAAAAAATGGAACCACACCGAATTTTCAATATGATCTACCCCAAATCATTGGAACCACACCCCATTTCAACTATGCCACGTCTTTTTGGTGCACGGCGGGTTTAGGGAGGGATCTTCTCACAGCTTCCACAAAGCCAAGAGGCCGCCCCCGATGGCCCCAGTTGAGGCTCCCGGCGAGGGACTGCAGCGCCTTGCCCAGCGCAGAGACCGGCGACTCCATGTCCGAGGGCCCTGGCGAGAGAGTTTGGGGGCAATATTTGTATATATATATATATGTATATATATATATATGTGTATATATATATATATGTGTATATATATATAATATATATATATATATTATATATATATGTATATATGGTCCCGTGTTCCGTGTTGCTACCCCCCCCCCCCCATATGGTATGGGTCCCCCAGGACCCCCCCCCCCCGGCCCGAGACCCCGAGCCCCCGGATCCTGTCACCTACGGTCCCACCCCCACCCCGACCCCCTGAACTCGCACCCCGACACCCCGGCAACCCCCACCCCCAGGACAAGCCAACCCGCAACCAACCATAAACCAACCCTAAACTAACCCTAAACGAACCCTAAATACCCGTTAAACCAAACCCTAAACCGTAGACCTCTAAACCTAAACCAACTCTAAATCAACATAAACCAACCGTAAACTAACCCTAAACCAACCCTAAACTAACCCCAAATGCACCCTAAACCAATCCCTAAACAATAAACCCTAAACCTAAGCCAACCCTAAACCAACCCTAAACTAACCCTAAACCAACCCTAAACACCCTAAACCGTAAACCTAAAAACCTAAACCAACCCTAAACCAACCCTAAACCAACCCTAAATCAACATAAACCAACCCTAAACCAACCCTAAACTAACCCTAAATACACCCTAAATATACCCTAAACCAATTCTAAACCACCCCTAAACCACCACAACCCAACCACAGGACCACAACCACAGGGGGGGGGGGTACTTGTCTGACCCATGACCATTGGTGGGGGGGGGGGGGCTGGCAACGCTGTACCATATATATATATGCATATACGTATACGTTTATACCCTCCCGCCAACTAACACGAGTTTGTGCAAAAAGGCCCTTTCCAAGAGGAAAGTAGCCTTTCTATAGGGGTCTGTGCACTTCCATGTTAGCTAGTCAAAGGGTGTATATATATATATATATATTATACGGCTTATATTTGTATACGTGTGTTTCTAAGGGACCCCGCAAAAGGTGGGTTTCCTTGTGGCTTCCCTTCAAAACCACAAACAACAGGGACCCTCGGAAAAAAGGCGAGGCTGCCACGTCTCCTCTCTCTTAACTTTGGATGGGGCTTGAGACAGATCCAAGGGGTCACACTGATCCCATTCCTGCGAAGCCGCTCTATGGCTGAGAATGTTTGGGTGAACGCAAGCCACCAAACCAAGCCAATATACCACTGGCTGGCAGCGGATGCTTGGGAAATGAACCAATGTTCAATCCCGTGGTGGCTTGAGGGAAACACTCAAAGCACCATGCCACAACACATCCGCATGGGCTCCACACTCAGCGAGCATAACAAAATACACTCCGGCACTCGCCCCCTGTGCGACTGAGCACTGCTCTTCGTAACCTTGGGTGTATTGAGTGCCCTTCCTAAGCGCCATTTCTGTTGCCTCGATCTAGTTTTTGCTTTTGAGGTACGGCGAGCCTAAGGGAAGCCGAGGGGCAACCAAGGGGTTCTGAGCCACACCCTGGCTTTAGGGTAAAGGGCACCCAAAGAAAAAGCGGCACCCGAAAATTCGATCAGACGGCGGCCCTGTGCTCAGGACCACTGCAGTCTCTCCAAACTGCCAGGCTTTGGGTTCCAACAAACGGCATCCAATCCATCGCACAGGATCTGGGAAGAATCCGAACTCGGAATCATCCAAGACTGGGAAGCAACAAAGTTGCAGCCAGTGAGGGAGAGATGCAAAAAGGCCCACCCGAAGCACCTCACGAGATTTCGAGTTCCTAACATATGGATCTGTCATTGGGGGGACTCCCCCAAAATGGTGGTTGTCCTTTTCGCTTTCCTTCTGAAATCGCAAAACAGGAGTGCCCTCAAACAAAGTCACACCCGTGTAGGATCCTTTTAAAGCTTGGGGTCTGTTGAAAGGGGAATTCCACTCCCTAGAGTTCAACCGATTCCCGCGACAAGAATGGCAGGACCCAATTTGGATGACAATCCTTACTAGGCAAACAAGGCGCTGGGTTTATGGACCCCATGTTTTGCACGGATTGAATCCCACGCAGTGAACTTCTTAGGGCCCCGAAGTTTCAGAAGCGCGCCTCCCTTTAGGAGGTCAGCACGGAGGGCGGGGGCCTGCACCATGCGAGTGGGGTTCCAAGACCCGGATAGGACTGGTGGTTCTACCGAGATGCTTATGAAGGGCTTACACAGGCCTTACTATAATTCTAGGGGTTGATTCCCCATTCTTTTCAACCTTCGTTCTTTTCAAAACCAGCCGCTTCCCCTGGGATTTTGATGGTTTCCTGAAAAGATTCGGATCCCTGGAGAGAATGGAAATGGAAGTTACCCCGAGAAGAATCCCTACTGAACCGGAACCACATGCAAAAAAAATACCAATAAGCATGTTGGACGCTGCTCAACTGCCTCAGGGGACCCGTACCCACTCCGTGCAAGGCATATTTTCTAATCCATATCCCAGTTGCCCCAGTGGGCCTGATAGGGTTTAACGTTTTGAGTTGGAAACCCACAAAAAGAAAGATATTTAGAGGGTGCGAATGGGGGAAACATAGCTCATGATGAGCTTCTTATCGCGTATGTCAAACTACAAGTCTCCAAAATTCCAGCAAGCGCTTTTTGCACTGTTCCTAAAACAACACACTAGCACAACCCTAGTCTTACACAGAAAAAAAAGCAGGACGCACCGGCAACACTGGCCTCTCTTTCTAGAGGCCGGCGTCAGCGAGCTGTTGACCGTAGTGGTTCCCGACCCACGATCCAGGATTCCAAGGGACCAACGGCCCGCTGATCGGCCAAGCAGCGGGCCAAATCAAACCCCATTCACGGACCTGATCTTTCGGATCGTGGAGCTTCGGCGGCGACACCGGATACCAAAGTCGGTCACTCCCATGACTGCTGTACTTTCTTTCGTGCTAGATGGGGGGCCTGGAAAAAAAATAATAATTTGACAACTTATACCCAGCACCTTTTGGCTTTCCTTTGGGTAAATTTGCATTTGTGGGCTACTTAGCACCCAGTGTTACCACCAACCATACTCAACCAGAAAACCACCCATGTGGACTGTTGATCGCACCAACCTTCGAGGGGATTGGCTCAAAAGTGGCAAGGTACAGGCTCAAGTTCCCATGAAGTCATACCATCCAGGTGGTTTCCTTGGGGATCCACGGTTCATTCCCAAAACCCGACATCCATTCTTGTCCCCGACATTTTTTGTGTTTCGTGGGGTTTCAAGGGAAACTGGCAGGACATCCGAACTCCATTTCTTGGATCACCGGCCATTCTAAGACACACCCATGACAAAATTTGGAGTGCCGGATTGGTTGCAACATTGGTCACCAACCCCCCAGTTGCATTGACTAGGTCCTCCAAGTAGAGAGGTTAGAATAAGTGTACCCTTTGCTTCTGTCGTCTATTTTAGTAGGGGAACCCTCCCAACCCAAAAAAGTTGGTGATAAAGGGCACCTAGCTGGGGGACCTAGGCATTCTTTTCAACCATCGTTCTTTTCAAAAACCGGCTGTTTCCCCTGGGTGTTTGATGGTTTCCTAAAAAGAAGGATCCCCGCACAGAATGCGGAAATGGAAGGTACCCCTAGAAAAGTACACACCTCACTTCTGTTTTAGTAGGGTTGACCCCTCCCCCAAAAAAAGCTAGTGAGAAGGGCACCTAGCTGGGGGACCTAGAATAGGCTACGCAGAATCATGCTTCAAGAAAAAAACAAGGCAAAGACACCAATATACCTTGGGGCTCAAGACCCTAACAAAAAAAAACCACTGGGGGACCTAGGCGCTGAAGTCCAGTGACCACCTCACCTCCACCGCTGAAAGAGCCGAAAGCCGAGTCGTCCGCTCCTTGGCGCAGGACTCCAGCAGCAGCTCCAGGGCCTGGCTCCTCAGCAGCGCCTGGCCGCACCGAAGCTTGTCGCGCGCGAACGGGGGGGGGGGGGCTTCGGGTGTCCAACACGAGGGGGGGTCGGGTTTTGGGAGAGCCCCGCGGTTTTTGGGTGGGGTGGTAAAAGCAAAGCAAGAGGGAAAATCCACTTTCTTGTCTCTTGGGGGGTGCCCCATTTGTTTCTTTTTGGGGGGGGAGGTTTTAACGGGAAGTCAAGAGGAAAGCCAATATCCGTTTTGGATTTTTTAGGGGGTCCCCTGCAAAAAGCCAGACCCCTGTGGGTGACTTGTTTTTGGGAATCCCTGCCAATTGCTTGGGGTAACAGCTGCCGACAGACAACAGTTTTGAGCGCGCTCCAGCTTGACAAGCGAGAGTTTTTGCCCAGAAAGACCTTGCATTGTAAAGACTTTGGGGGAAGGGGGTTCTCCGGCATATTCCTTTTTCAGTAGGTTCAAAGACAAAACAACATCTTGGTCAGTTTGTTTTAGGACAGGAACAATCCCGGAGGCAAAGATGCTTCATCCGGTTCTCCCCTCACTCGGAAAGTGCAGTGTAGCGGGCAAGGCGATCAGTTGAGGGCTCGGGTTTTGGTCAAGGCGGGTTTGGGCTTCGGGCCTGAGTTCGATTGGCTTCTGGGTTCCGGCTGCTCGATTCACGTTTAATTAGGGGTAACTAGGGCCCCTCACTTCAACGAGGCCAGTCCAAAGCCGCACGGAATCTGTTTCTACTCTGTTTCCCTGGCTGAAAAAGAAAAAGCTTGATGCAAGGTCATTGCCGTGACGATGCCAGATTGGGAGAAGGTGATGCTGCGAAATGGTTTGGGAAACCCGGCTATGTTCCAAGCAAACCCCCTGAGCAACCACAGCAACCAGCGCCAAAAGAAGCTGGCAAAAGTTGAAAGTACCGGATTCACCACCAATCTAGCCAAGCAACAAAAGCTAACATGCCGTGGATGGACGAAATTTGGCACCACTTTGAAAGTCATGGTTGAAACCATAACGTTTGTTACGGAATTGTTACAGGGGGATCGAATCATTCCAGGGTTTCTGAACGGTGGTGCGAAATGGATTTCGCAACCATCCACACTATCTCTGAGGTTGTGGCAAAATGGCAACAATGTTTAGGGCTGCTTGTGCCAAATTCGCCCGTCCAAATGCAGTCGGGACGTTCTGGAAGGTTACACACCCCGCCAGGGTAGCCGCCAGCACCCAAATGAGATCATCAAAGGAATCTCCCAGCACTTCGGCATTCTGATCCCTGACCAGCAGAAACTTCACATCCTCAAGCGCGAAGCCTGCTCCGAGTACCTCAAAGTGGCACTAACGGCCATGTGAGTGGCAGGAAGACCAGGAATTCCGAATTGGCACCCTGGCTGATGGCGTGCTGCGTGCCCTCAATTGTGACATGGCTTACCCTTTAGAGAGAGGGGGCACCCCAAAAGCCAGTTGGCTTTGGTGAGGGGGGGTCCTCGTACCATGCTATGTAAACTATAGAACATACTGAAAGAAGTCTAATTAGTCACATCAAGCAAGGACTCGCCAAGGTCGTAAAGTTGCAACCCCAAACAAAACACCTTAGCCTCATGAAAGGGCACCAGGGACTCCAGAAAACTTCCCGTAGGACTTCTCTACCTAACTTATGGACCGAAGAGGCCGGCTCCTCGTTTCGACCTCAGTCTTCCGCATGTCGACTCCTTGCGCCTGGTAGAAGGAGAGGGGCTCAGCCTCGGCTCCGTTCTCGCCCGTTCTCGCTTTCGCCAACCGAGTTCTCCTTTGAAGTCTCCGCATAAAACGAAGAAGAAAAAACACAGGATCCCGAATTTCCCAAGGAATAGCCCACACTTCTGGGATACACCGGGAAAAAAAACTAAACAACTAATGCTTTCTGATTCTTGCTTTTTCTTTTCATTTTCTGAGGGACCCCAAAGAGACTTGGTTGTCCAGAACGAGATCCCGATTTTGCAAGTGGGAACTAGCGGAACACCACAATAAGGGAAACCACTATCATCTGGCAAAAGCATTCTGGACTGATTTTGGACCGACAAGAAAGACTTCGATTGCCCTTTCAACCATCACAAAACAGGCGTTCCCCAATTCGGGACACCCTCGAGCAACCTTGATTCATAGCCAGTCAGTTTTTAGCGGTCCCAATTCGGTTGATGGCTGTAGTATTGTCAGCTGTGGATTCAACCCTAATCGGCCCGTTTGTGTATGATGTGTATGGGTGCCCGGCATGGGCGTCCATCTTCCTGTCATACGTCTAGCATGCTGAAGTTGTAATGTATGTATGATTCTATGTCCAGCTTACGCGGAGACATGGCAGGAAGGAGAAGAGCTGACACATACCACGGTGCAAACATTTGACCCTGGCAGACATATACAGAATAGCTAGTATGTGAACATAGGCGTCCTTTTGGCAAAATAGATGGCCCTGGTAAATGGAATGAAACCACTCTAAACCAGTGAAACCCATCTATTTCCAGGTAAACCAACCTAAAAAAGGACGCCTATGCGAGGCAACTACTAGTGATGTAGTGCAAATACGCTGGAGCTCTTGTGTCCAAGCTGCTTGTTGTGCGGATATATGCTAGGGACAGATTAGTTATATGTTGGAACTATGCAAGGTTTGCTAAGCACATGCTCCAACACACCTTGGATTTACGTCAAACATATGCTGGATATGGATTACAGGCAAGCAAAGACAAGTCCTTGACAGAGGATACAAGCTAGACTTACACAACATGCTGCACATGCTAGATATATGCTAGTCATACACAAGGCAGTTGCTGCAAGATCATCAGATCCATGGAAGATGCAGCAGTACATGAAACAACAACATGCACAGCATGTTCCACTCAAATACAGCAACTCACTCTCTTCTCAACATTGGAATCGGCCCCCTGTGGTTGGCTTCCTTTTCGCTTCCCCTTGAATACCAAGCAAGAGGGGTCCACCCTGCGGAGAAACACCCTACAAGTCGCCAAACCCATTTGGGTGCCTCGTTTGAGGGTTCCATTGTTAGATTGGTATGAAGGGAAACCAACAGGAAAGCCTCCATTTTCGGAAGACACACCCATTTTCACTGAACTCCCAAAGGCAAAGCCTGAGTCTCCGAGTCCCTGAGTGCCACACGAGGCCGTGGTCGCCTGCGGAATACTCTGCGAACTCACGCACGGACCTCAAACAAAGGGTACCCCAAAGAGCAATTCTACAACACATGAGGAAATGGACCCAACAAATGGATGAAAGATCGCGGCTTTCCTTTTGGTGTCCGTTTTGACTAACCTGCAAAGAGCCACTGGGCAGGCTGTAAAACCAGTAACCAGTAATTAGAATCATCGTTGCAGCTCGCTAGTTTTTTGGATCGACTTTTGATTCTCGCACAATTGCAATCCAAAGCTCAAGGCGAAACGCAATCTTGTTTGATCATGTATGTTAAAGTAGTGCTGGATACAGCGAATTTCGGACACATCCGCTGCGACCAGGAGGCGCTCACGTCCTCCCATCGCGTGCCTCTTTAGTCTTTTGGGGGGAGACACGTGCAGTCGAGGAAAAAAATCGACCCGTGGCAGAACAACCCCAAACACCAGAACAGCCCATTGTTGTCAGGGTTTCCTTAGGCCCTGAGGACACATCCTTGTTACTAGCAAGGAGTGAGAAACATAAGCTTACGGAATTTCACAAACTTGGGACTTTTTGCACCCGGCATACAACTAGTTGGCGCACAGTCATGGCTCCTCAAAGGACATGGTTCCTCGGCGCAATCCGTCTTGAGGCTCTGAAGCGTTGTTTGACCAGATACATCTAGGGAAAGAAACGATGCCTCTAGGACGTGCATCTCTCTGTGTGTTTGCGTGTCTTGTTGACACATTCATACTCTATCTACCCGGTTCCATTGAAAGTCATCAGAAGGGCTGAATAGCAAACAAGCAGAATGCCTGCACATGAGCTGCCTGGTACATCCCGATGACCTGTGACTTTCATGCACTTGTTAAAAAGAAGTACTCGGGATTTTGGACATGGCAAAAAGCAGTTGTGGGGTACCGGGTGATCGTTTTTCAAGTATCAGTCAATAGTTCAATTGATTTCCTCCTTTTGGATCATCAGCGCAAGTCAAAACCCCAAAGCCCCAAAACCCCAAAACCCCAAACCCCCTGATAATTGATGGGGTCACAGCCCATTTTCTGGAGATTCCGGGCTGGAGCTTCCGGGAAGGGTTTCCTTTTTCAATATGTTGGTTGTCGGTGTGTGGCCCTGGCCAAGTTGGGGGTTGCCAAACATTCGGGGCCCGGGCCCTGGCCAAACAGCGGTGGTTGGGGGGTGCTGGACAAGATCCAAACGAGTAAGACTTGGACCTTGCATGACCTTGCCCCCACCCACAGTGGATGATGGAAGTTTGTGACTGCTAGTGTTTGGGGGCAGGGTCCAAGGTAAAACCATTCTGAAAAGGCCTTGGCGCACTTGGGCGGCCACCATGTGAGTTCATGATCAACCCCCTTGGCCTTTGAACGTGTGGCGTTGCTTGGAGTGGGCACCCTTCTCGGCATTGCGGGGCACAACCTTTCTGTGATACCAAAGTGATTGCCAGTCTTACAATGTCTGCTTCATCACTTGAAAAGTTCCTTGGTGTCACGGAAAGTAGGCCTGAAACCGAGTAAACACACACAACCATGCTTTTTGCTCGGACATACTTCAACGATGGCCCGAGTTTCAGTATGCGACAAACCCACTCCCGACGTGTCAAACCAGCTGCCCCGCTCAAGGGTGTGTCTTTTTGGGGAGACCCCTTTTGGTTGGTTTTGAAGGGACACCAAGGAAAACCAACTTTCTTTTTGGTTTCCCTCATTTTGAGACACACCCAAGACACCAGTGTCCTCCTTTGGGTATTTGGGTTTTCCGGGTCCTCCAACATGTTTTTTTGGTGTGTTTTTCCCGGGTATTCTGGGCAGTCCTTCCAAAATGGTCCTCCAAGATGTGTGTTTTTCCAAAATGGTCCCCCCAAAAAATGGGTTTGCCGGGTATTTGGGTTTTCCATGGATTTCCCCCTCGGTTTCCGTTCAACCAACCCAAGACAGGACACCAGGCCGCCCATGTCTTTGCACGAACACCAGACTGGGCCGCATTTCTTGGCACGAGCAGGCCGCCCACATATTGCACGAATGGCCCCTTCCAGACAGGTCCCACCCATGGCACCGGCCACCAGGGCCGCCTCAAGCAAACGTTCCCCTGAGCGCGGCCTTACTCTGAGAGGCTGTTTTCCCCGAAACAAAACACCCGAAAACACACAAAAACAAAACCACACTCGCACAAAAATAACACACACACACACAGAAAACACACATATGCCAAAAAGAAAACCGCCCCAAAAAACAAAAACACACACACACACAGCCCTCCGGTTGCTTCTCAAAAAACTGGGCACCCAACATGCAAGTCCAAAAAGCGCATCCCACTCCGCAGATTCACGTGGAACCCAAAGTCCCACAAGTCGAAGCGGAAACTCCTTTTAGGGGGGACCCGCCCTTTTGGGTTTCATGTGAATTTGTAGGGGAATAGACACCCCCAAAACAAAATAAACACAAAATCACAACACAAACAAACAAACAAACAAACAAACAAACAAACATACAACCGACCAACCAACCAACCAACAAACAAACAAACAAACATACACACAAACAAGCAAACACATACATTCAGGCCCCAAAAAGAACCTTTCCTTCCGGCCTGACACTTCCCTGCCGCCGCCCAAGGTAAAGGCGCCGTGGCCGCTGTCGCTGCGCTCCACCTGGCGAAAAGGCGCCTTTCGGCGCCTTTCGGCCGGGTGTTGGGTGCTTCTGAAATACCGTGGATGGTTGGACATCCGGTCGAACCGCTTTGAAACCATGGGTGCAACCATACCGTTTGTTGGCATGTACATTGGGGAATCGAATCAGAAACCACAAGGTTTCTGTGGTGCGAATGTTCGCACGAAATGAAACCACCCAGATAGCCGAGTTGCTGCTTCTGTCAGTTACTGTTGCTGGTTTTCGGGGTAAAGTGCATGGGACAAAAAAAACAGCAACTGGCGATCCAGGCATGGTTGAAATTATAAGGTTTCTGAGGTGGTGCGAAACGGATTTCGTCCACCCACAGTAGGTGTGTGACTCTTCAGGGTGCCATTTTTCGGTTGGTTGAAAGGGACACAAAAAGGAACGCCAACATTTGGTCGGTCTCCCTATTTTGACTACCCACATGGCCCCCTTTTGCTTGGTGCCCCTACCCCCCAAAATGGGTCTGTGTGTGTGTGTTTTGAAGGACACCAACAGGAAACCAACCATGTTTGCTTTTGAGATACCACCCCGCCACCAAAAAAAGAAGAAGACATAACAACAAACACAATGGAGCGTTTTGAAGGGAAACTCAAAGAATATCAACCACGTTACAGTTTTGGGGAGCAACATGTGGACTCTAATAAACGGGCTCCGAAGGCTTGAGAAGGCATATTTCGCATCCGAAAGGAACCCATAACTGTTAAGGGCGTTAGGGTCACTACCCTTCCTCCCTCTAACATGGCACCTGGGGAGCTCCTTGATCAGTTTCCTCCTGGAAGGAGAGAGGGTGGCTTTCTCCAGTTTGTGTTTGAGAAAGGAATCCCATTGGTAGGACCCTCTCCCATTGGTCAACCCCGAACCGAGAGTTGATACTTCCTTTCCATCCTCCTAGGGTAAACATGAAAGACACTACCACACGTTCACCCAGTCTGAATGGATGGTTCTCAGACCCAGTTGCAGCTAGTGACCCGTCCGGTAGGAAAAGAGATTCAGAACCATTGCTTGTTGGGGCTGACCATTTCGAGTGTGGACCCCAGCAAACGAACACAGGAAACCAAGCAAATTTGCCACGGAGCAACTCGGGAAAGGACGAATTCGCACACACCCACAAACCGACCGGAGAGTATCTTTCAATTTCCGAAACGGAACTCAGGAGTGAGTTCTGCTGAGACCGCCCCCCGGTGTAACCACCTCCCAGGTTTCCCGACGATCCGCTCAAGTCGGGCGGTGGGGCCCAGCGGCTCACCAACTCAGTGGCCAACTGGGGCGAGCTCACTCGCCGCGCCTGAGATTCGGCTTGCAAGGAAGATATCCCAAGAATTCCTTGCCTCCATGAAAATAATGGTTGACCCAATTTGGATGATGACAATGCTTTGGTAAACAATGGTGGTTATATGAAGTCCGATTGTTGTAATGGTGGTTTTAATCCCAGGTGTCAGTGGCTTTAACTTGATGGTTCGATGGGCAGGGAATGAGGGAAAGAGCCCTAGAAAATCCTAGAAAAACCATCGCCTATGGTTTCCTTTCCGTTCCGATTCATTCCCAACACCCGGAAGGTCATTCCCTACCTGTCGCACCAGCAAGTGAAACGTCGCCTTTTTGGACCAAAGGCAGCTTCATTTCCTTCTTGGGTGATGTCTTTTTTGAGAAAAATATCGGGAGCCCGATCTTCTAGCCAAAAAACCCATCAGAAGGGTAGACAGTCGGGTGGGACAACGAAGGACGCCAAGCGAATCTTCCACCCTGGCGAATTTGATGCGGCAGAAACGACCCCGCGTTAGTCACAGGAAGGACCACCTGCACTCAGAACTTTCTCCTAACGATTGCAAGGGGGCAAGGGCGTTCGCGGCACTTCACGCAGGTTTTAGGTGGTTCGATAGTACTTGCAACGTGTAGGGTGCTTTCGGCCCGAAATGTCTCGAGGGTTGACCAACCAGCGGTTTAAAGCTGTTTAAACAACTGATTGATTGAGCGTCCTCGCTCAAGTGTCCCCTTGAAGGAACATCATCATTTAAGCTTCTTTAACAAAGCACACTGATGCTACAGTACTCTCCCCCAGGAAGGAACATCCCCATTTCATGATCCCTTTGAAGGCGATACCCTCATTGCAGTTCCCCTTAAAACAAACCTCATGTCAGTTCCCCCTGAAATGAGCATCCTTACTTTTCTCCATACAGGAGCATCCTCATTTACGTTCTGCGTTAACACAACAACCTCCTCATTTGGTTTCCCGTAAACGCACTCCCTCATGCTAGTGTGTCATCCTCATCAAAGTTCCCCTGAAAGGAACATCCTCGTTCTAGTTTAAGTTGTCCCGTGACGAAACATCATAAGTTCCCCTTAAATGAACATTATCCTGTGATTTTGGCCTTAAAGGAGCATCCTCATGTAACTTCCCTCTTAACCACACATCCTCGATCTAGTTTCCCCTTGAAACACAACTTCTTGCTATGTTGCTCCTAAATGAACAGCCTGATTTAAGTCCCCCGGTCCCAAACATTATTGTTCCATCTTGCCCTCGAGGAACATCCTTAGTTTCCGCATACACATCCTAGAAATAAACATCCAATTATACCCTTCCCCCCGCCACCATGACATCTGTGGATACCCGGAAGATCAGTTTCCTCTTGGAAGGACCCGCAATTTGCGGCGCCATATTTGGGAGAGCGGTTAAGTCTCCTGGGTCTTTCTAATCTTCTTGGTGGCACCGCTTTTTGCTGGTTCTCTCAAAAAAAAAGAAGAGGAAGAAAACACACACAAAACTTCAGAAAAAAAAAAGAAGAAAAAACAGTACAAAACACACACAACATTTTTCACCACCATCTTCGCGGCTCCAACCAACAGCCCACACCCCGCAGCCCGTGCCTGGCTCTCCAGCTCGGAGGCGACCTCCTCAGCGCGGTTGACTGTGTTTTTCTTTTGCTTCGGGTAGCCACCCGGCCACACGAAAAGTACCGAAACGGAAAAGGTACAAACACCGTGTGTTGTTGGGAACCATTTGGGTACTTAGCTGTTTCTTTGTTTGGGTAAAACTGAAGGTGGGGGCCATTATTTTTTTTGGGGGGGGGTCGCAGTTTGAGAAAATACAGCTCACTCGCTGCGCACGGGAACAAAAAAAAAAAAACATTAACACCACGGAAAACATGTGTTGTTGTTTTTGTCTCAAAACAGGTGACCCCAACTGGTAGTTGTCCGTTTGTTCCCCTGTAAAACAACCCCAAAAGGGCACCATTGAAAGAAGACACAGCCAAACACACTCCTCACTCCGTTGATTAAAAACACTTAAGACTGGCCAGCAATGTATGAACTTGTCTGAGCAAGGACGAGGCTGGTGGACATATAGCCACGATTAGAACCGTGGGTTGACTGATATTCCCAACAAGTAGTCCCCAAGCTGTTTTGTTGACTCCAATATGCTGCGGACATCTCCGGACCCAAGCGGAAGTGCAGGGATTTAAGGAGCGAGACATTGCATAAGGCTTGCTTCTCCCATGTTTTTGGGGTCAGCATCAGAAGGAGCCTGATCTGTATTCCATGTTGCGGCTGCACATGATATCAGGGGCGCCAGAATGGCTGAGATGTAACAGGGCTTCCACACTGACTTCTGCTTTAACGTACTCCACCAAGCACATCCCACATTCCCCACGATGTGTAAAAACCTAGGGATACAAGACACTTTTGAGCGGCGGACAATATTTATTGCATGCCCCAAGATATTGGAAAAAGGGCGAGTAAACTCCATGTCCTGATGGTATTTGTTGAGTGTGCCCGATGTCAGTAGATGACAGTAAATATAGATAGGGATCAACAAAATTGAAACACACATGCTCATCCCCCTTTTGGTTGCACTGTTGGGAAAATCAACCATTTCATCATATAGTCAGCTTCCCCCTAATTGGGAGTTTGGTGGTTAAGGGGTGGCTTTCCATTGACCCTCAACAAGAACCAGGGACCCGTTCAAATCCAAATCCAAGCCACCAATTCGGGGTTGCCTGACCAAGTTTTAAACACACCTGAAAGCCGACCGAAAATCCAAAAAAACAAACCACAAACACAACGCAAAAACAAAGACAACAAACACGAAACAAAGAAACCATAAACCAAAACAAACAAAACAAACCACAAGCAACACACAGAAACCAGGACAACCAGAAACCACAAACAACAAACTACAAATTCGTAAACACAAACAAACGACACACAAGCAACAAACAAACATTTAAGACAAACAAGAAACCCAAACCCGGTGACCGGCTGAGGTTTCAGACGTCGGCGTTGCGCCCCGCCGCGGCCTTTTGAGTCCTCAGCCATTGAGGTCCCAATCGCAGAAAGGCCGTGCTTTTTGGTGGTGAAGGGCTGTCTTTGCGTCAGGCCAAGGGTCGTTTTTCTTGGTTGGTTGGTTATTTTGGTTATTTTGGTTGGTTGGTTGTTTGTTTGGTTGGTTGGTTGGTTGGTCGGTTTTTGGACACTCGACGAACCTACTGTGAAATGCGGGTCACTTGTTTGCAGGTCCCGAACCCAAGAAAAAACAAAGGATGCTTTCCATTTTCAAACAATGGGTGTGCACAGGAGGCTTGCAGGACATAGTCCACTTTCCACCAAGATAGTCTTCCAAAACCCGTCAGTCGGGCGCCGAGATTGACTCGTCATATGCTCCGTTGCTCCCGGAAAACCATGTACTTGAGCTCCCAACAACTCCGCTTTGAACACTACCCCAAGCGTGGGGGGCAACCCCCATTGAAAAGAATGGTCAACCCAATTTGCATGATGAACATCCGTAGGTCAACAATGGCGGTTCTATGAAGCCCGATTGTTTTCATGGTGAACCCCAGGGCCAAAGCAAACTCATTTCTTGGCAAGCTTCCCCTTTCAAAGGACGAAAGCTCAAAAAGGAAACCATAAGGACTCCCTCTAACTATTCTCTATTTGGAACGCGTGAATCATCCAAACTCCTCCCGCCCCTCCCCCTGAGGCTAGTGGAACTTCGTTTGGGAATCCTTGTGCTTCTTCAAAGCCCCCAGGTTGACGGCCACCCTACCAACCAAAAATAAAGGGGTCAAACAAAAAACACACGGTACATATTCCTTGTCTCTCTACAGGTGGCTTCTTGCATTCTCCACTTAGACCGCTTACCTCCCGCCACCACACGTTCACGCCGGCTTCCTTTAGGTGCGGAGGCTGCCCTGGAACCGTTGCTGCAACGCCCCCTCTGCAAACAACAATGACTTGTTTTTTGTGGGACCCCTTGATTTCAACCCAATATCAAAGTCTGAAGATCCGTTACCCAATGGCAATCAAGCTGCCTGGAACTAAGTGGCACATACACGTATGATAATACACCAACGCTGCGGGATCTTGCACCCCTCTCTCTCTCTCTGTGAGAGATGTTGGCTAGGACCTCTTAGCTAAGCCAGTCGCTGCATGGTTTTTATTCACTTACCTTAAAGTCACACTTGGGGCAGACAACATGGGCTGGTTTGCAAGTTTATTGGCGTTTCAGGCGCGCTTGAGGTGACTCAGTCTCATGTGCGCGATATTTGACAGTCATCATGAACTCTCAGACCGGTTTGAGCAACGGCGCTGTTTAGCATCTCTTAACAGTCAACCATATCACTGAAGCTTAGGTAACCTTTTGAAACTAGGGACTCTTCTAAAAGGTCGTATTTCTCGTGGGCTGCATTCTACAACAGTGCCCGAAAGGGTCCAGCTCCTTTGAGATCCCCTGCCCCAAAGCGGGGTTCAAATCTTAAGAGGAAACATTTTACTAAGAAACCTTGAAAATCACCAACTCTAACCTGGGCTGTCCTCAGATCCCCCGCTAAAAGTTTAGCTTTTGGTGGCTTAAATGGAAATCCCCACTAAACACTAAAACGCTAAACGGCTAAGGGGATGGCTGGGAGCCACCAAGTAGCTTGATGGTTTATTGGACCAACACATCTTTTTGAGAGCCCCTCAAAATGCAACCACTTTACAGTCATGTGGAACGGGCACCCCGGCTCACGCACCTCCCGCACCAGGTGGTTGACCTGAAGCACACCCCGTTTAAACGTGACTTCGTCTTGGTTGCTGCAACGGCCCCCTTGCAAAAAGTGAATAACCTTTGGGGGCCTTAGTGGAAAACGCCTTGATTTCAACCAAAAAGTGAAAGTCTAAAGATCCGTTACCCAATAGCAGTCAAGTCGTGGCTCGGGAAAGCACCCAGAAGCTTGGCACAAGTGCAAAGCAGGATAACGAGCAGACTCAACTGCTAGGCAGGGCTTTTTTGAACTTCTTTTGTTGTTGGCTGTTGCCCTCTGTGCACAGAGCTCAACTTCTTGTTGACGTGTGGGAAAGCACGCAGTTTTCCGTACAGTGAAAGGTGAAAGATCCAACCAAACAGCAGTCAAGTAAAAGGACACCTACGGGCTTGTGGTCAACCAACGCGTCCGATCCGAACAGCTGAGGATGCACATCTACCTGTCCTCCCACCCGAAAAACAACAAGTATGTCACGAGCCCCGAGTCTCGCCTTGTCGGTGAACCAGTTGCTCATCGCTCCAATCCGACGGGGACCCGATGGCCGAGCAAAAGTTGGGGGGAGCTGTACTTCAATTCGCAGCTCTCACATCAATTGTCATGTGGGCTGGGAAGTATCGTGGCTTACTCATGGAGTTGCACCTTTGAATGACATCATGCACGCCATGTTCCGAGCTCAACCCACCGAAACGTGACCAAGTCAATTGTGCACCAGGGTGGTTCTCGACCTGGGGATCCCTTTTCGGCTCCTTTTGCTGCACTGCAAAGAAGAATAAGACACTTCTCCCATTGGATATTTGACATATATCTTTGTCCTTGTGGACCATGCTGCTTCTGCTTGCTCACGCGCATCCTTTTTTTGGATGTCCTTCGTCCTTCGTCCTTGGCAAGCTCGCACAAGCCACGGGCTGCGGAAGCGGAAGGGCGGATGGGGCGCCGATTGCGGTGAGAAACACACCGCTCTGGTCCAAACACGGCCATGGCTTCCCTCAACTTGAGCTCCGCTTGGGGTCTCAAAAGCACGTGTGCATCCGCGAAATAAATTTAAAAAGAGGCGGCCTGAAATCAAAACTCTGCCCGAGTTGCGCTCTCAGAAAGTCCGGAAAGGCGTTTGCGCAACTTGCAGCCTAGCTCTTCTTGACACCGCCCCCAAACAAATTACATAATGTTGACCCAGGATTAATAAACCCGTCCCACTATTACGGGGGTGTTCCCTCCAAAAGTGATGAATCCCCACTAAAAGGGGACACCCCCCTATTAATCAACCAGGGGTTTATTCATCCGGGGTTAACATTATAGGTCTCCGGATTGATTCCTCTGAACTAGCCGTGCGGCAGTTGCCTTTCTCCGCGCCCAGTGGAAGACCTGGACTGGCAAAAACTGGACCGACCGGATGGGAACCCAACGTGGAAAGGACGAGACTCACAGGGAGCTAGCAACTTGCTACAGATGACACATGGCTTCATTCCAAGAGCATCCGACTGCATCCTTCAGACCATGCCACATTCGAAACAATGTAATCTGGCAAAGCTGTCATGTTGTCAATGTTCGGCTGCTGGCACTCAGAAGTTGCATGTGAATTCACTTGTAGTGGTTACGGCGACAACACGCTCCGGTCGAATCCCAACACGGCCCGTTGTTTTGGTTTCCGCAGCTCGCTCGAAACCTTGACAATGGCCCTGGGTTTCCTGGACTGATTCAGCGTTGGGATGCTTCACCGGCTGGAGAGCTGCTTGGATTTCTTCCTTTTCAGGCGATCGTCCTCATATGTCCTTGTCGGGCGATCTTCCTCATATTTCGAGCATAAAACATGTAAGTTAGATTGGCCAAAGGCAAACTCGTGCTTCCGCCCAAAGAATCACCTGAATATGTCCCACATAAAACACGGGACTAGGCTAGACTGGCAGCCCAAAGAATCACCCGAACAAAATCCAAGCGTGAAGTCAGCAGCCTGCGGGACCGTCACTCGCTCAGAGACGTGACCACTTCGCTGGGCGCCGCCTCCAATCCTTCATGGCCATTGGCGTCAGCTTCCGACGCCATCGCTGTCGAACCGTCTCGTCAAAGCACGCCGGCCTTGGTGAGGCGGCGGCTTGCAACACCCGTCTCCGGTGGAAGGAAGCACACGACAAGGAACCTTGGCGGCAAGTGAAGCATATCCTTAGCATCAACAATCTAGGTCCTCCAGTAGAGAGGTTAGAATATGGGTACCAACTTTTTCTTTATGTAGTCTATTTTAGCAGGGGAACCCTCCCAGGGCACCACTGGGTGGACCTAGACAATGATGCATTTTTTGGCAACAATGCCTGCTTGGACCTTGGGCGTCAGAAGAATTTTAAAAAGCCGATGTCTGCAATGCTGTGGTTTCAACCAGTATGACAAACAAATCCCTGCCGAATTATCGATTTTGCCATGGCGGCCTTCAACTCATCTACCAAAAAGTGAAGTATCCCCCCTACCTTAATGGGGGGGGGGGGGGGGCGAAAATTCCATCTATTCAGTGGCTGAAAAGGACAAATGTAGGGAGCCTTAAAGTACCTGAGTCAAAATTGTGTTGCCTAGTGTGTCAGACATCACCGGCTTGCTGCCGCTACGACGGCATTTTATACACTTATGACATGTCTGAAACATCCCGAATCTAGATGCGAAAGGTTCATTTGTACAGGTGAGCTCTATTTTCCTTCAAGGTTAGGCTTTGCGTTGGCACGACCACCAGGATCAAAAAGCTGACGTTGACGTCTCATGTGAGCCCTCAGGTCATCGCGTCACAGATCACCAGCTTCAAGATTCCGGATCCGAGGCCAGAAGCAGCGCTGATACCTAGCCTTCCCTGGGAGGCACCTGGAACATCAGTTTCCTGGGACCATTTCCCTGTGAGGTGTGACAACGTGGGAGAGGTAGGAGGGTTTGACCTTGGACACTCTTTAGGGCATTCGTTTATTGCAAATCCCTGGCGGCAAAAAAAACCGAGAGCTGACGCAGGTGGACATCTTGTGAACCTCATTGAGTGAAGCCGCTGAAGCCAGTGTAGTCGAATGAAGGCATGTTGCTGGACCCTCAAGATCCGCCGGGGATTTTGGACATGAGAAAAAGTTGAGCTCTCTCCAAACTTAAAGGGTGCACACATAGAGCATGTCTGGAGGCTTCGTTTGAAAGGCTCGCCTTCGTTTTACGCGGGGGTTCATCTTGTAGCCTTCGCTTCTAAGAGTCGCCTTCCTTTTACAGTTTTAGCTCCTATTCCATCTAAATACATGTCCTTGAGGCGGAGTATTTTGGGGATTCCTCAGCTGCTGTTGCGGGGTTGGGGTCACAAGGTGTCTGACAAACCTGGATGATTCCTACGGTGGATGGAAGAAATCTTGCATCTCTTTTGAAACAGATTCATGCCATCTCGTTACGACTTGCCCCGCGGCCCCCTACTTAACATTGGTGCTCAGTTTGGCCAAGTTGGGTTGGGTCATGCAAGAGTTAGGCCATTAACAACCTATGAGCGGGTTTGCTCGTCGAAACTCAATGTTAAGTAGGGGGCGCAGGGTGGCAAACATGTAGTCTTGTAAACTCATGCAAGATTTCTTCCATCAACAGTATCGACGCAGCCGGCCATGGAAACAGCCAGCTACCTAGTGGGGTAACTTTGGGGGAGACCTATATGTTCCTATGGCTAGTGTCTGGATTAGGATTCAAAACAGAGGCATCCTTTCTTAAACCAGCTCGATGCATCCAGAGTTCCTGCTACTGGGGACCCACAACCAATCACCCCTGGTGCAAATCAGAGACGCCTTTCAAAAAGTGAACATGATCCCATGGATTAAGCAAAACCCGGCCCAGAACAGAACCTTTGACCCTCTTCCATTTCTTGGTCCGCCCACAAGCAAGTTGTTGGAGACCCTCTCCTCAGCTGGGAGCCCAGCCTCCGATGTCTTCGATGCCTTCGATGCCTGAAGGCCTGCCTGACTTCTGATCGCATGGTGAGTCAGGGGTAAAGCTGGCATTTCCCCTTGCTTCCATTTGCTGAAGCCCCCTGGAAAACAAGAAAAACAAAAAAAACATGTCGGGTGGTGATAAATGTCCTTTAAATCCAAAATGGGAAAATATAACTTAAGCCAATGGAAGCTTGAGTTGATCAACGTACTGGGGGTTTCCCTTGCAAACCATTTCCACTTTAGGTTTTCCGAGAAGGGAAATGGCTTGGACTCTCCTTCTGGTTTTCCCAACAAACAACATGGTTGTTGAAACATAACTTGAGAGCCGCAGTGTCTGAAGATCCCGGGACGATTGTTGTTTTCCCAGTTTTTTTTCTTTCTTTTTTTTAAATAAGTTTTTTGCTTTGTTTTTTAAACAATTTTCGGGCCACAATATGTCGGGGTTCCCCAACTAGTGATACGCTTCAAAATGCCTCCTTTCCGTTTGGTTCTCTTTCAAGTCACTCAAAAAGGCACCGCCATTTTGACTAGGTCCTCCAGTAGAGAGGTTAGAACAAGGGCACCAACTTTTTTCTGTAGTCTATTTTAGTAGGGGAACCCTCCCCCAAAAAAGAAACGGTAAAAGGGCACTACTGGGGGACCTAGTTGAGATCCACCCAGTCATGGCAAGCAAAGGCTGCTGAAGTGCACCTACACCTCGACCACAACGCTGGGCTTGCACAAAACGTTTGAGGCTCTGCACGCAATCTTCGCGCATTGCGCGGACTATCTTCACGCTCAATGCCAATCTGAAACTTACATTCTCAAAACCAAAGCTTGCTCGCCAGCACGAAAATAGATGTGGAGCGAGCAAACTTGATATTATCCACTTGATACTTAATGTACTCTCCGGCAACATGAACAACTTCCAAGGGCATCTTGGAACCCACAGAAGTTGTCTCAAAATTCGGGGATCCCCCAAAATGGGCGGCTCCTCTTGGATTCCCTTCAAAACCAGCCCAAACAAGATCCCATATACACTCAGAAACAACCACACCCATATGGTTGTTTTTCACCATTTCTGCTACTTGTTTGGATAACGCCATCCCCCAAACCACAAAACGACTTCCAGATCCTGCAGTAGAGAGAGGTTAGAATAAGGGTACCAACTTTTTGCTGTGATTTTAGTAGGGAAAACCCTCCCCCAAAAAAGAAACGGTAAAAGGGCGCCTACGGGGGGGGCCCTGGACTTCAATCTGGGCAGGATCGTTGTCATCCGCATCACCGCAGCCCCGCCTTGTGCGTTCGTGCCGCCCGGCCTGCGCGAAGTGGCGCGAGCCGAGCGGGGGGTTGTTCGAGCGTAGTCATGCCTGGGATAGAGGGAAACCAAAGCGAACACGCTACAGCTTGTACTTCATTTGCTTTCATTAGGTCTTCTTCATCTTATCTTATGCTTTGTTTTATTTATTTATTATTGTTATTGTTGGGGGGGGAGGGTGGTCCGCTATTTTGCTCGACAGGTACTTCCCTTTCGTTTCGTCATTCCCCCGAAACTTGGGGTGGTCCCCTGAGTTTCCCGAGCACATTTGATCCCCCCTTGATGGACAAGTTTTCCTATCCTAGGTTCTCCAGCAGAGAGGTTAGAACAAGGGCACCAACTTTTTTCTGTAGTCTATTTTAGTAGGGGAACCCTCCCCCCAAAAAGAACCGGTGAAAGGGCACTACTGGGGGACATAGTATCGGTGGTTGATAAGACTGAGTTTCCTGGTCGATGCGTTCCTGTTTCTCAGCGGCATCTCCGTAGCCACAAGACATTTCCAAGAGCCCCAATTTATGGGTCCCCAAAGTTACACATGGTATGAACAATTAGAGGGAGTCTAACCCAAAGCCATGCAAACAATTAAAAGGATGGCCAGGACAGTCTGCCACCCTTCAATTACCCGGAGTTGCGTGCGGCCCATGTGCAGTGCCTGGTTCACGTTGCGTCCACATGAACGAAGTTATCCTGCAAGGCAGCGCCGGCTGTTTCGAAGGCTTTGAGCACAAGGAATCCTGAGAGGGAACCTTTGAGAACAATGGGGGAATCAATAGGGATCAACATTTAATCAGTTTGTATAGCACACGAAAGCGACATCTCGCCTATTCAAGAGGCCGGCTGCACAGCTCGCTCTTGCGTGCGCGTGACTTGCCAAAGCAACCCTGATGGGTGAATCCCTAAATAGGGAATCCGGCCAAGTGGCTGAGTTGCGGTTGGTTCCTTCCACAGCAATCCAAACAGGGTGCTCTGGGAACACAACACATCCATGAGAATTCAGATCAGAGCATGCTCAATTTGCCTAAGCTGCGAGTCCAAAACTCTAGGTGTTATCAAATAGTGACTCTATGAGAGTCATGCCAACGGCTACAAATACCCGCCTACGTAGCAAGCATTGAAACAGGTAGGGAAATCAAGGTAAAACGCGCTGTTGGGAGGAATCTCAGATCCGAATGGAAGGATTCCGAAATGGAACCCTTCCCTTCCTTTCTAAAACAAAATTGGAAGCCACCAGGTTTCGATTCGGTCCCCTTAAAGGCTCCATAGGAGCTTCCATGACCGCTACCTTGATCCTCAGAAGAGGTCGAAACAAAGGCCCCACCCCGGCGGCAAACGAAACTGCTTTCCGTGCTAAACAGTGAACAAATGAGACACATTTGAGATCTGCACAAATGAGACGTTTGTTGATTTCCCGGTGTTCTTGCCTCTTTCTTTCTTTTTTCGCAAAAACAAAACGCAAAGAACAACTTAACAACATCGAACACATTGGGCTACACCCTTTGGGCACCCGCTGATTTTTTCATCTGACCCAGGCTCGCTTCCAAAAAACATCCAAACGACCCAGTCCTCAAACTCGCAGGGCAGCGAGGGATCTTGGCAATCCTCGGAATCGGCTTGACTGACCGCTGGACCGCTGGACCGCTGGCAAACAAAAACCAGCTGCAGTCATAGGTGTCCTTTGAGGGGAAATAGATGGCACTGAGACTGGTAGATGATGAAACCACCAGGTAAACCAGGGCCACCTATTTTTTTTACCAACACCAACCAAAAAGGACACCTATGGCTCCAGTCCATCTGGTCGGATTCTCCGCAGCTGCGCGCGAGTGCACTGCAGGACTTGATGTCTCAGGAGTTGTTGCCCCCAGAGGATTCGACTCCATGGAAGCTCTCGAAGGGACCCCGAAATGGAAGACGTGGTGACGGGCTTCTGGGGGGAAGCTTCCGGCTGTTAGTCTGAGGGAGTGTATCTGCCCTCCCACCTCAAATGGACCTTCCGGTGGGTTCCATGTTCCTTGGTGGGTTGGGGTTCAACTAATGGTTGGGTTGGCATAACCACCATGATTCACCGTTCAGGATGTTCATCCTCCAAATTGGGTGCTTCCCAGTATTTTAAAGGGGATTGAACCCCAGGGGACGGGGTGGGGGAAGGTATCTGCCTATATTAGTTGGCAGGGTATGACTGACTTCACGAGATACAACAATCTAACTCCGGGACATCCTTGACTGGCTTCGCTTTTGGCAACTTCCGACAGGCGCCACCTCAGACAGGCTACGTTCCTGGTTCTGAACTCCGGAATTCGAATCTCACCCAGAGCATGAGCGTGGGTCCCAAAGCAAAAGAAATGGGGGAGCAATCCTTCGAATAGTGACCAGTTTGCACACACCACCAGGCATAGTTTCACCTCCCTGGTTGCGAAACCCAGGCCACCTTCAGCTAGTTAGAGGCACAGCCATCTCCCTGTTACATGAAAAGGACGGCAATGTAAGAGCTGAGCCTTGTGAAGCAATGACTTCGCACAAACATATCTAATCGATTCAAAGGTTGGCTTTCACGTGCGATTGGAGTTTCAGTGGTCAACAGCTGAACCAAAGCGCAACAGCAGGCCAACTGCAGCTTTGTCGCGGGGAGGCATGCATTGTGGCCCGGGTGGAAGCATTGCAGTGGAATGCCATCTCCTTGGCAAACTTGCACACATCTCTCATGAGAGGCGCATGGTTCGCTTGGGAAGAGAAGCACACTCTGCCATGAAGGAGAAGGGGCATGACTGTTTCCGCTTGTGCAACCAATCGGATGTCCACTTGCGAGACCCCTCCAAGCTGGTTTCCTTTTGGTCTCCCTCTCGAAGCAAGCCAGTTATGCAAGTTCATTCAGCGGGTGACTTTACACAACTACGGCACTGATCTCAAGGACTGGCTTTGCTTTCGTTCGTACGCGGTCCTATGTTGGCCAATTAAACAACTCCTGTAATTTCCATCAGGTAGTTCCGGTGTTCAACTAATTCCATTTAAGGCCTTAAGCTCTATCTAGGTCACTTCATTTTGAGGGACCTCTTGTTTGGTGCAGTAAAGGACACCGAAGGGGAAACCTGTCTTGGTGCTTCTAAGCTGCAACAAACCCACTATTGACTACCCTAAACTGCGCGGTCCTCAGATCCCCTCCAAAAAGCTTGACTTTTCTGGGCTGCCCTCTGATCCCCAGCTAAAAGTTTAACTTCTAGTGTGTTAAATGGAAACTACCACTAAACACTAAAAGGCTAAGAAGCTAAGGAACCGGATGGCTGGGAGCCACAAAGTTTTGTAGATTAAATGGACACCCCCCCACCAAACCGGCTAACAAGCTAAAAAGCTAGGGAACCGGATGGCTAACCCCGCACTTAAGCCCAATCTTTGCTAGCCCAAGCCATACAGACAGACACACACACACAGACACAGCTTGCAGAGAAACAAAAGGACACCGAGTATTTTGCGGGTCCTTCTGAGGCTTCCCTGTAATGCTTCTTGAAGGCAAGTCAAAAAAGCACACCGACACGTTTTCAGGAATGTTCAAAGGACCAACCCAAATCCTTGGCATCTGGCTATAGTCTTCCTGATTTTCCGAGTTTCTTGGTCCACTGACCCTAGGAAAGTATGTTCCTTGGGTTGCTGCTCTGTCCTCAGATCCCGTGCTAAAAGTTTAACTTGCGGGTTAAACAGAAACTACCACTAAACCTAGGCCCTCGAGTAGAGAGGTTAGAATAAGGGTACCCTGATTTCTGTAGTCTATTTTGGTAGGGCTACCCCCATAAAAGGCTAAAAGGGCACTACTGAGAGACCTAACCCTGAACAGCAAAGCTAGGGGAACCGGATGGCTGGGAGCCGCCAGGGTCGTTTCGGACATTTCGTTGAGGGCGCTGAAGGGAAGTTGGCAGATCCTGGGCGGCCGGGCCAAAGAGTTTGCGCACTGGAGTGCGGTATCTGGCACATGGACACTTGAGGGTTGCACCCACAAATCCCACCACCCCCCCGGCATCCCCCGGCCCTCAACTTCCAGTAGTTGAGGGGTATGGGGGCGGGGGTTTGCCAAATCTGTTCAATCCGTCGTTGTCTTTTTCTTTTTACAGCAACCGTTGACACCACACAAATTGTGAACGCGCGGTTGGCTCAGCCCTGATGAAACTCACATTGGGAACCCCCCTTGAAGGGTGGTGTGTCAACAAGCTCCGCCAATCATGGATCCCACAGTAGGAACCCTTCACGTGGGATCCGATCCCTCATTACCTCAAGTGTCCTTCATCAAGCCCAAGCAAGCACAAGATGAAAAGGCTACCAAAAAGCATGAGTTCATGTTTAAAGCAAGCAAGGGCAGGGATATATAACACACCAAATGAAACCCCGCCAGCTCGCTGTCGCCTGAGACCATGTCGCCCACTTCCAACATCGCTGCCTTCATGAATTTGCTCAACAAAAAGGCTCCGTTTTTGAGAACCCCTCAACCCCCTCCCCACCAATGGGGGTCGGTTCGCCTGGTGAAGAAGATGTGCTGCAGGTGCTCCGGGCTAAGGCTCACCCTAGAGTAACCCCGGAGGTTCGAATGGAGTTTTGGTGGGTGGGAGGGTGGACGGGGGTTAGGGGGGGGTGAGGGCGGGGTTAGGGGGGGTGAGGGGGGGGGGGTGAGGGCGGTCAGGGAGGGTTTGGGGGGGTGGGAGGGTGGGCGGGGTTGGGGGGGGGGGCGTGAGGGGGTCAGGGGGGGTCAGTGGGTGGGATGGCTTCAGTGAGGATACACTGTTTCCCGAATTCCCGTCGGTGGTTTCAGAGCTTCATTCCCAAGACTGCTTTCCTTTCCCAGGGTTGAAAAAGAAAGGAGTCGCGTGGGTAAGCACCGTGAATCAAGAAACACATGTTCACAGACTAAAACATCTTTGTTCACAACAATCACATACATAATTACAACAACAACCCTGACGTCGTAAAAGGGACCATTTGGAGAACTAGGGGCCCTTCTTGTCGGAGGGAGTGGACATGTTTTGACTTACATGGCGCCGGGGTTTCCGCAGCTCCTTGGCTCATTCGGGGCCCACACAATCCAGTGCCGGGCTGTCCGTCTTCAGATGCCCCGCGAAAACTGTTTAACTTTGGGTGGATTAAATGAAAATCCCACTAAGCACTTAAACAAGATGGGAATCCAACCACTAAGCACTTAAAAAGCTAAAAGGCTAAAAAGCTGAGGAACCGGATGGCTGGGAACTACCAAGCGTTGGATTCTTTCGGCTGAGGCGAAGCTTCGGAGGGCTCCGAGGATCCGAAATTGATCAACTGCCAACTGCACGCTGAAGCTTCCTTTGAGAAAACCTGACAGAAAGATCACGGGGAAAAATGCGTGCCTCCGGTTGATGTCCTTTGTCACAGCCCCAAATGGGTGCTCGTTTTTGAGCCTACTTTCCGTTGGTTGGCTTTACAGAAAACGAAACGGAACGTCACCATTGTGGGAGAATGAATTTGAATCCCAGATCGGAATCCAGGTTGGCTCCCTAGGAAATGACCAGCTCTCGCAACCCCCAGTACTGTTTGCCTGGTGCGGAAATGAACCATGTGCATATAGCCAGCACTCAATGCTCCACAACCACCTGATAATTGACACATTGTGAACAACCACACAGGTCTGTTTCGAATGCGAGTGCTGGGGCACATGTTGGTGACATCTTGTGCCTTCAAAGAGAATCGTTCGGGACTTAACCAGGGTCATGGGGCAAGCATGGCTCCGTTTGAAGGGGACAAACCCTGGAAATAGTCGGCGGTCGCTCAAACAAAATACAAATTGCGAACTGCGAGCCCTGGATTTATATCCCTGGCTGATTTCAAGGGCGTCCAAGATTAGAGGGCAGCCTTCACTGTGGGGTCACGCCTCTCTAATCCGCTTAATCCACCAGGTTGATTCATCCGGGCTGCCGCCCGCAGTTGCTTTGTGTCTTGGAAGCCTTTCCTGGGCCATTTGAACCATTTGGGCCCACATCCGAAGGAGAGGTTTGGGATTTGGGCGGGTGTTTGGCATGAGGATTGGCACAGAAAGCGATTTTCTCAAACCCCCTCCCCGCCCCTCCCCATGAAGCCATGTAATACTGTGGATGGTTGCGAAATCCATTTCGAACCGCTTGGAGACCATGGTTGAAACCATAACGTTTGTTGGTATCTACCAGGCAATCGAATCACTCCATTATTTCTTCGGTGGTGCAGGATTTTGTCCATCCACGGTACGTGGCTCATAGCTAGTTTGTCACGACCGGATTGCCACTGACCACAACCATTTGGCGAGCCTCCCGAGGGCACCTAGCCAGTCCCAACAGAGGCCTGCCAGCCTTTCTACCTAAAAAAATCCTCACCGGGGGTGTGGCTCAAAATTAAAAAGCTAGGGTTACGCAGGTTTTAGTCTGTGGGTCCATTTACCAAGGTACCATTTTGGTACATCTTTGTGAGCCACAGCCTGCGGTCTTCAATCCATGTCCGCTGAAACGCCCTGGTCGATTGACTAGACCCCCACAAGAAACAGGGCGGAAGTCACGCCCGGGGCAAGAGGTGCCCTCACCGATTGTAAGCACGCTGGTGATGCCTCACTTTTAACTGGCCCAAGAGGTAATGTTGAAAACCTAAACTCGAAATATACTTGGGTGTTCGGCCAAGCAAGTTGTTGGTCACCTAGGCTATAACCCACTTGTACTCACTGAATGGCTTGTTCAGAACAGATCCAAACTTTTTATTTACTGCTAAAATGGCAACCAAAACCACAAAACAAGTGACTAAAGTCCATGAACTCAGGAAGTGAGCTGAAGAAGCACCAAAGTTAAGCGGATCCCATGTTGTTCCCCTGCTGAAAGCCATGAACCACCCATGCTCCATGTTTTCTTGTCAGGCGGCTCCACGCCGAAAAGCTTCGCGCGCCAGGGGTGGCTCGTGCGCCGCTGGCTGCCGCGGACATAGGCGTCCCCTACGGCGACTCGACTTGGTCTTTGTAGGTCTCTTTAGTAGGAACCCATACCACGTCTGACACCCATCATCATCCCCAGTAAGCCCAAGTAACCCGGTGTTTTTATCTCAGTAGCGAACCTGTTTAGTAGGAGCCAACAAAAAGTCTGACACCCAGAATAAGGGTCCATGACTATGCTTGGCAAGTCCGGTGTTTGGACTTGCAGGGTCGCGAACTTTCAAGGCAAGAAACAAAGGGATGCTTCATAGGGATGACCCCCTCATTCATTCTGAAAGCCAACAAGTCAAGCGTGCCTAGGGGAACAATTTTCACAAAGGCTTCTCACTTCAGTAGATTCACAGCCTGAATGGGTTGAAGGTTACCTGGAGCCCTCGACACCCATTTTTTAACGGTCGTTCTTGCAGGGTTTGGGTGGAAACGCCCTTTTCTTCCGGAAATGCACTTTTCTTCGGCGCCCTTTGTCCTCGTGCTCCTATGTTCGCTGCGTGTGCAACGCACACGCAACACACGAAATGACACGAAACCCACAAAGCCCATGAAAAACACGAGATGCCTGAAGACACTGGAATTTCACGAAGAGCACGACGTGCACGAAATAAAAGAACGCACAAACCTACAAAACCTATGAACCGCACCAAATGCACTATAAGTGGACATGGGAGCGCCGGAGCCGTACGAAACGAACGAATCAAGTAAGTGCATAAAACGCACGAAACCCGCGGAACCCACGAAACGCACGACTTGGATGCACAAAACGCATGAAAGAACGCAGGAAGCACACGAAACGCACAAAAATGACTGACATGCGTAAAAACACGTGATTGCCACGAAGCCCACAAAAACGCACCAAACCCACACAACCCATGAGGCGCACGAAATGCAAATGCATGCGCAGGAAGAAGGCGAAACGCATGAAATGATTGCGAAGCATTAAACGCATGAAACGTGCGAAACACACAAGCACGCAAAACCCATGAAGCCCCTTTGAATGCAAAATACACATGAAAACGCAGGAGCCGCGCGAAATGAACGAAATGCAATGCATCAGGAACCCCACGAAACGCACGAAATGAATGAAATGCGTAACATGCACTGTGTGGAGTCAGGAAGGCTTGTGGGCATGCTTGCTGGAGATGCTGGGGATGTTGTGGGTGATGCAGGGGAAGGGCACAACAAAGACAAAATTCACCTTGAAAAAGCACAAAAAGCAGGAAGAAAAGTGCACAAAAGGCGCAGAAAACGCTGAACAAACGCACGAAACGCATGAACAGCTCACGAAATGGCCCTATTGGAAACAAGATTTGAAGGCACAGAACGCACGAAAAAGCGCACACGAAACGCACGAAATGCAGAAAACCGCACGAAATGCCCAGGAAACAAACCACACGAAACGGGCGAAACGTGCGAATCGCACGAAAAGTGCCCGAACAACGCACGAAACACATGAACAACATACGTAATGAACTAGGAAACGCACGAAATGAACGAACAACGGCACGAAATGCTCAGGAAATGAAACGCACGAAATGCAGAAAATTGTAGTGAAAGAAAACGGAACAAAAACACGAAACATGTGAAACCCGGCCGCGAAACACGCGAAACACACGAAACTGCACAGGCAGAAATGCTCGAAATGCAAGAACTCCCGAACACAAACCCTTAAATTTGCGATTTTCTCGGGCGGCTGTGTGAACCTCCCGCTGGCCGCCCGGAACTGCCTGTTGGCCACCCGGAACTGCCTGTTGGCCACCCGGAACTGCCTGTTTCAAAAAAAGCAAAACTGCTTATGCAGCCAGCAAACCCTTTACCAACACAATGCTTCGCGCAAAATTTGGGCGCTTTCCCAATCTTGAAACTGCAGTTCCCCATGCAAACCGGCCGAGATCGAACCAGCCAGGATAAGACCCTGCCGCGAGCTTTCAAGGCTTATCAACCTCGAACATTTTACTGCTCATTTTTTGCTAAATATATACACACATATATACACCTATAGAATGTAGAGCTTCGTTTTGACAGTCATTTCCGCCGAATTGGAGAACGACGCTTTTCGCCTTTTGGGTGTGGGCTTTTCTTCTCGGCTTGTTTTTTGATTTTGCGGCAACATGTTGTTCTCTGCACTTGGGCTGGCAGACCTTCTCAACTTGAAGCAGTTCACACCCCGCCCTCATTCAAGGATTCCCACCGGAATACAAGCCAGCCACCATGCAACACATGCCAGTTCATTTGAAGGACAAAAAAAACCCGTGTGTTGCAGCAGCTGATGTGTGAAAGTTCACAGCCTGTTTTAGGAGATGTTGGGAGTTCCCTGGCAAGAGAGGTGAGACTTTCGATGCTGGACACATTTGTTTCCTTGCTGCTCCTCATGCAACGTATTCTTCAAATTTTGCGCAAAAGAAGTGCTGCCAGCTTGCTCCAAACCAATTTGCAGATTTGCAGCTTTTGCCCAGGCTCCTCCGAAATTCCACAGTTTGACACTTTTTCCCCACCCGCGATTTGCAGCGGAAGTTTGCAGGACGTGTTTTTGTCGAAGAGGTTGTTGGCAGAATGTTGCGGCTGAGACGCAAAGTCTCCGCAGAAAGTCCGGGCCGATTCAGTTTCCCCAAAGCGCGGCGCTGGTAAAACATCACTGGGGAGACGTGTGTGAAACACTCGCACACCGACATACGCAACGCGACGGCTGAGGGCTCCTGCAAGGCTCGACACATATCCCTTCTTATTGTCTGCCCGTGAGGAAGGAGTTTAAGTGAAATGTTGCTTCAAATCTGTGTAGCAAGCTGAGCCTCGTTGCATGCTGGGGCATACTGTTCGCAGAGAGGCGCCAGAAGGAGGATCTTAATCCACCCAGCGTTGCTGAAAGCGCGGAACTGCTTTTGCGGCTTCGGTGTTTCTCCTGGTTTGCGGCTGGTTTGCGGCTAGTTTGTGGGAATTATTGACGCAATGCATTTCGGCAATGTTTTTGCCAAAGGAAGTTCTATACTATTGCGACAAAAACTACCAGGAGGCCCAAACCGCCCGTTTTGCCCAAAACCGCCCGTTTGGCGAAAAACCGCCTGCCGGTGCCAACATCCACAAATAAGTGACCGTCAAAGGCCCCAGGTAGGGGGGTTCCCACAAGCGGTTCAATTCCCCCAGGCCAGAAACTGAGGGGTACCCGATTCACCAAAAGTTTATTTTTGTCTGTGCGCCACTCAAATGGGCTTCCCAAAAAGCTTCAAGTTCATCGCCGATGGGCGATGCCTCTTACCCCGTGC